GCTACCGGGATTTAAAAATAGTTACGCAAAACGGAGCGTGCCCGCTCTGACCGGTTTTAAAGGGTTAATATATCAGTGGAACAGCTCAGATAGGGTAGCTAGAGAGACAAGACTAAAATGGTTTCAACATGTGCAGAGGACAGATAGTGGATATACTGGACAAAATATGCTGAAGAATAAGTTGCCGAAGTGGAGGAAAACCGTTTTATGAACAAAATGGACAACCTATTTTGTATGGTGGTATACTGAAAGGACTTTATTGTATGTAAACACTTCCAAAAATAAGTAATCTCTGATACCCAACACGCAACTAATTAACAAAACTACACATTTTTTTCTTTTTAGATCTACTATTCTTAAGTATTTTAATTCTACAGTTCTGAGGGCTGCTTATCTTAATGCCCTTGAGAGACACCAAAAGCCAGATTACCATCCTCTGAAAAAATGAATTTTCTGTTGCTTATGAAGTTTCTTGATATATTGATATTCCACCCTTCCAGGATGTTGTCCAGTTTTCAGACGTTTGTTTTTGATTTGCTCATAGTAATGATTCCAGTTTCCATTCTTGTCTGCTCCAAATCCAAACACATCAACCTGAAGACACAAAAATGTGGATTATTAATCACAAATGAAATTAACATAAAATAATTATAGATTATAGACACTACAGATTTCATTAACATGCATTAGCTCAGGGGTGTTGAACTCCAGGCCTCGAGGGCCGGTGTTCTGCAGGTTTGACCCTGGGTCAACACACCCTAATCAAATGATTACTTCATTAACAGGCTTCTGGAGAACCCCAAGACATGTTAAGGAGGTAATTTAGCCATTTAAATCAGCTGTGTTGGATTAAGGACACATCCAAAACCTGCAGGACACCGGCCCTCGAGGCCTGGAGTTCGACACCTGTGCTTTAGCTTAATGCAGTGCAGGCGATTTGCCATTCCATTTTTCTTTTTTAAGTATATTTTATTAAAAACCAAAAATAAAAATACAGTCTGTATAAGTTGGGATTGTCTGTACTTGTCATATATTCTACTACTAGCACCCTCACTATCCCCTGGAATTTTCTCATACCAAGAGCCTTATCAAGGCAATAGGAAAGGCCAAGAAACAAACACTTCAACATGCAAATACGGTAACAGTATAAAACTATAATAAATACACACAATTAATAATAAACAGATAAACTGAATAAAGAGAAATAGGAAAGAAATCAAGGTTAATAGTTACCACTATTAACCACTATTACCACTATCACTAACCTGTTCCTGACTGATTAACTGATTGATGCATCAGTGTAAAGAGTGACTTTATCCCCCCACTAATGTGTTCTGCATTGCTCTTAAAAAAGGTATTATTAGGGGACTAAGGACAGGGGGGCAAGTCCCTTGGTCCCCTAATTTCCTTGAAGGAAAGGACTCTAAAAGTAAAAGCCTCAAAAACTTATGTCTTAATGTATCCTCAATCATCTGTGTATGGTAAGTTAATTCTATTCATCTGGACATAGCATTTTCATTGGTAAAAATGTCCTACAGGTTTCCCAAGCCTTAACAGTACATTTGCATAATGACTGAAGATAGCATCACTCACTAACAATCGGCTTTGAGATCAGTTTTATGATCATTAATACACACATTTGTATGATAATAGATCAATTCTCCATGAGTACCATTCACAGACAGTTGGGGAACGGCTGCTGTCAATGGAAAATTGCACTTATTAGTCAGTATAATCTTTTAGTGATATAGGTTCGCATATGGTAGAATACTGCATGTAGTTATTTGTATTAGGAAATATTTAACCATGTATGCTTAGAGGCGTATAATCAATTGTGTAGTGACAGGATGTGTGATCTCTAGCAGGCCGCAAAAGGCTTGGTGTGCACTCCAGGAATGCACCCCCACATCCTGGGAGCATGGGAAGAGCTTGTACCTTGTTTTATTGTTTTAACGTAGCTATGTCTGTTTTAGTCTAAGTGCCTTTTGTTTAGATGAACTGCTGGACTTCCTCACCGTGTTATCTAGGGTGAACCATCTAGGGTGAGGGGGAGACTACCCTCTTCCTGACCAAGGATGTACCTCTTGTGCCTTCATGTTATATGACCCTTTGATCAGCAGGACCCCCCCCCCCCCCACACACACACTGAAGTATAAATAAAGACCGGGGCAGTTTCTTAGCGCGAGTCTCAGTTCTGGAGGCTGCCCTTGCTAGCAAGAAGTTCTGTGTGTTTCTCTTCTCTGAGTCTTTACTGAAGAAGTGTTTTAGAGTATATTTCCTTAACAGCTGCAATGTAAAATTTGATTCTCATTTTAATGCTCCAACCTCCACACCTTTTTAATTCATTCACTTCTCATTAGTACATGGGTCATCCAGCCTAGGGCCAACTGCCAGTTCCCTATGAGGCCTTCCAAATACAATCACAGATTGTCTATCTGTGATTGTCAAATCTAAATAAGGGATATTGTCCCAGCTAGTTTAATGATATTTAGGTAATTCTGCTCTAGAAATAATCAGATGGTAAAGATCCCTTGTGGTAGTGCTTAAGCTGGAAATGATATCTATGCTCTCATGTACAACCAATGGGCCAATAATGAATGGTGTGGAAATGAATTATCATATCTGTTTCTTGAACCTACCTCATCACACAAGTACAAGCTGAGAACTAAAGTCAGAAAGCCAGTGGATGGATACCTCCCATGCTTTTTTAGCCAAACATAATGGACATATTTCATGAAAGCAGGGCTGAGGATCATCACCTATTAAAGATTACAATTATAGACTTCAATGACACTTTAGTAAATAATAGAATTACCTTTATTATGACATATCATATGCTGGATGTTTGAAGAATAAGTCATTCTACTCACCATATCCGTGTTAGTTTTCAAACCTGATTTAGCAGTTTCTTTTTGCCTGTTGGATATAACAATAACATGAAATAAGTCCAAGCTCAAAAATGCAACTGCATTTTAAAATATGGTGCAGTTTACCTTTGTGCTTTTGTAATGGTTTGTTTGTTTGTTTTTTAATTCTACACTGCCAGGGAGGCACCGAGACCATGACACAACTGTGTGTGTATATATTACTCTCTGTCATGCCACATGTTTTTGTCATGGTCTGTGGCCCTATGTCTGAGGAGTGTGTGGGCTGCCCTGGTGGCCACACCCCCGGGCTGGGCCATCACCTGCACACCTGTTTTCCATTCTGGGCAATTACCTGGAGGACTATTTAACCCACGCTGACGGATGCTCCCCGCCAGTCCGTTAATCACCCCTCAGGGGGTAACTAGGCTTCCCGCAAAAGCTTTGTACATATGTGTCATTTGAACTGCGTTAATTCTGCCTTCACGTGCCTAGGGTACGATCCGGTGTTTGTGTCTGCTACCTGCCTGTCCTCCTGCTTGCGAGCAGTGCATCATCTGTCCTCATCCCTGCCTCCTCGGATTCGCTTCGCACAGACACACTTCCCCCCCCTTCTGAGTCCCACTGTCCCGCTCTGATCGTAAGCCAATTACTAAAGCCCTGTCTTGTTGTGTCTCCCTATTTCCCAGCTCATTAGTAATTTTCTCCCCTTTCTGTTGCAGCCTCCCATGGTCCTGATTATGGCTTCCCTGTGTCATTTATCTTCCCGTTTTTTCTTCAGTTCCTCGTTTTGTTTCTTTGGTTGTTCCGGGTCACCTTTTGTTAAAGCAATAAACTGTTTTCTTGCTCGCATTTGATTTATTGAGTCTGCTTTTGGATCCCGTTTGTGTGCGCGCACTGTGGTGCATGACAGTTTTATTGTTGTTGTGTGCTCTCTCTCTCCCCCTCTCCTCTGTCTGGGTGGAGCTCATCTTAGGCTCCCGCCTCTGACCCATGCACCTGCCCTGATTACCAAACCTCCCGCTGATCTACCTGATTTCGTGAACACTACTTAAGATGGCAGTTCAATACTTCTCATCGGGCTTAAGCCTAACTAACCCTGAGATATGTTTTTGTGAATCTCTATCCAAATTTAAGACTGTTTGGTAAAGGCATCAGTGCAGTGCTGAAACATTTCTGACAAAGATATAAAAAAAAATAGGAATTCAGGATGGAAACACTTTTTCATACAGCTGTGTAGGGTTAAAAATATAACTTACATACCCCCATTAGTATTATATTATAGCCAGTTTTTTGCTTGATTACATGCTTTTGGAAGCCGTAAACAAGCTCCTGATATAAATCTGATGAGATATTTGACCACTCTTCTTGGTGGTAGTATAGGTAATTTTAATTAGCTGGCTTCCTGGCACAGAACTGTCAACAGATTTTCAATCTGTTGGGGCTGTGGGAAGGAACTTTATTTGTCTCAATATATCACAACTTTGCTAAGATCTGAATGATGTCAGAGGATATTGGTTAGGATGTTCAGTTAAAAAAAAAAACCCCACCAAGGTTCAAGCCTGTCATGAACTGGAAACTGCTGGGACACAAAGCACCATTGTCTACAGTGAACTACAATTTCACATTTAGTTTAAAATACACACTTTCATGCTTGACTAAAATTTGCAGCTGGGCACATGAACAAAAAACTCCTGGAAAAACCTTTATGGTCAGACAAAATAAAGATTGAGCTATTAGGCCATAAAGATAAGTGATGTGTTTAGAAAAGCAGTGGTGAGACTTTTAAATCTAAGAACACTATGCCAACTAACAAGCATGGTGGTAATAAAATTATGCTCTGGGGCTGTTTTGCAACCGGAGGTAATGGTTGAAAAACATCAATTCAGAGTTATAATTGAATTATATATTGAGACTGATATGTTGAGCTCCAGAGGAATTTGCAAACATTTTTACACATCATAACTAATAGAAGTCAGGGTAATATTTTTCTGGGCCAAGGGACTGCATTATTAAGTCATAAGAACAAGTAATCTGATGTCCTGTAATCATTATGAAGCTATAATTTGAGATACAATAAAAGATACAGTAAAAAAAATAAGTTTTTGTACAAAGTATCGTATCGGAACAGTATCGTCGATATCACCTTGAATTTTACTTTGTATCGGATTGGAAAGGAAATCAGTGGTATCGCACACCACTAGCCCACATCTTGTTTTTCCCCATTCTGCTGCCTTCTCAGGCTTGCCTTAATCTCTGCAGGTATTTGGCCCTCGGACGAGGCGGATGCATCTTTTGCCCTAAATAGGTTCAGTAACCACTATTCCTGATTCATGTCAGGGCTTGGTGCTGTCCAACTCTTTATACTTGAGACCCTTTCTTGGTCCACAAGAAAGTCTGCCACTGTGATGCATACTGGATCCTGTTCAGGGAGGTTTCTGCAGTCTGCTCTTAAATGGTAAAGGCACTGATTCTTATATAGCGCTTTCTACTCTCCCCGAGTACTCAAAGCGCTGTATACAACATGCATCATTCTCCCATTCACACCCACTCATACAAGCACTTCCTTCTATACTTAAGTGCAATCTAAGCATTCACACACATATTTAGACTCCAATGGACATACAGTATCGGAGAGCAACTTGGGGTTAGTATCTTGCCCAAGGATACTTGGCATGCAGACTGGGGAAGCCAAGGATCGAACCACCAACCTTCCAGTCAGTAGCTGATCTGCTCTACCACCTGAGACACAGCCACCCTAAATCCACGAGCCATTGAGCATTGCCGTTATGGGTTGCATATTTCTCCCATATGCTCTTCCAGTACTGCTCCATCTCCAGCCTTCGTGAGGATGTTTTCTTATCACTCTCTCACCAGTGAGCGTATATGTTTGGTTCTGTGGAGTACAGATGGCTGATTCTCCTGCTTTCTATATGTCTGGTATACCTTTTTGGCTGGCCGAGGCTGTGAGTCTTTACCTGGCATTTTCCAAGGCCTCAGTTATGGGCAGCTTGCTAACTTCGTAGACATCCCTTTCTACAACATCCCTTTCTGCAGCTTCGATAGATGGCTTTCCTCTGTGCTACCTTGATCTTGGCCTCTAGTGTCTTTCTCCATGGAGGGCATTGCTCCTTTGGCTGTTTATTATGTAGCAGCGCATTCTCCGTGTTCGCTGTTGCTGTGGTACAGATCAGTGAGTTGGTTTCGGTTATGGTTGCAGTCATTCTCATAGACCCTCAGGGGGTACTTCACGTAACCTTGGTAACCGGCTACATAGGGTCCAGGTTTCTATCTTCACAATGATCCCATCTATCAGGTCAGCTGCTCTCGGACTCAACACCTTCACTGCAACAGCTGTACTTGGGCAAGATACTCAACCCTGTCTTTCTGCATAATAGCAGTGTTGGAACACACTGTGGTACTATACTCTTGTGAGCATCAGTTGAACAGTATTGTATTGCAGAAAGTAGTGTGTTGATACAAAAATGGTAAGAAAAAGGAAATTAACAATGGAAGAAAGACAGACCATCATTACACTTAAAAATGTAGGTCTTTCCTACAGAGAAATTGCAAAGAAAGTCACGGTGTAAGTGAATGCAGTTTGCGTCACCATTAACAAACTGGGGCAAACTGTGACAGGAAGAAGTCTGGTAGGCCAAAAGCAACAACTTAATCAGAGGACAGGTTTCTGAGAGTTAACAGCTTGCATGACAGGTAGTTCACAGGACAACAGCTTCAAGCACAGCTTAATAGTGTTCATAGTAAGCAAGTCTCAGTTTCAACTGTAAAGAGAAGACATCAAGCTGCAGGTTTGACAGAACAAGTTGCCATGCTGGCGTCATGCGCTAAGCTAAGCACCTGCCCTCTGTGTGGCTTCGGCACCACCACCTGCATAGCACCACGCAAACCACTCCGGTCAGGGGACCACCTCCTCATAAGAACTCCATCTTGCACAAAAAAAGAAGTGGGGGATTTACTTTCTGCACTCGCGGCTGCGGATATAAAACAGGGAGCCAGTGACGAGTCATTCTGCTGAGCGGTTATTAGTGCATCCTTACTTAACTTTTCATCCAACTCTCGAATCAGTTTTGTCACTTCATTGCCGCTTCCTATTCTGCCACTCTCACAGCTGGGAGACTTTCTTTCATCTAGCGTCGCCATAAATGTGTCAGCGACATCCATAATATCGTCAAATTTGCGCGATTGCGCACGAGTAATAGCACTAACAGGAAACACACTTGATATAGGGGTGGCAGCATCAGTGACAGAGACAACAGGCGTTTCCACCACTTCAGGCGGTGGAAAAACTATCCCACCAGCCAAGTCATTTCCCAGAATAAATGAAACCCCTGTAATAGGCAACTGGGAACTCACGGCAACTTTAACATGTCCCGTTATTACGGGCGAATGCAAATGCACCTTGTGTAGCAGCGCCCAAAGAACGCTTATCCTAATTCCCCAAACTAACACATCTGAATCACAAGCAGTTTTATCTGACAATGGCAGTACACTGTCCAACATAAATGACTGATGCGCACCTGTGTCCCGAAGAATAGTAACAGGCACTTTATCCCTCTCTTCTCCCGTCACAGAAACGAAGCCTTTGGTGATAAATGGTTTAAAACGTGGCTCTATTTCAGCATCCGCATGGTGCAAATCATGGGTGGAATGCATTTTAGGCGAAGGGAAACTTTAATAAGACCTACACTGGCTGAATTTTTAGAGCCTTTGCGCTGCTCCTTCCTCCAGAGCGCGGGACAGACAGCGATCAGATGTCCGGGTTTGCGACAATAAAAACAGTCGCGATTACCACCATCCTCCTGTCTATCCTTCCATCCTACCTTTGGCGATTTTATTTTCCTCTCCTGTCCCACTCTGATATTTTGTACGACAGCGGCTGAAAATATAGTTTTGTGAGTGAGAGTAAACTCATCAGCCATCACTGCCGCTTTAGCAAGTGACGTCACCTTTTGCTCATTCAGATAAATGACATTTTTTGAATTCCTCTAACAAAAGAAGCTCTTTCAGCCCATCAAGATCCTTTACTTTACTGGCCTGCAACCATCGTTCAAACAAGCGAATCTTTTCACGGGCAAACTCCACAAACGTCTGATTGGCAGTTTTTGCACACTTCCTAAATTTTTGACGGTAGGCTTCTGGGACAAGCTCATATGCCTGCAACACAGTCTTCTTCATGATGTCATAATCTAGGCTATCTTCAATTGATAAACTGGTACACACCTCCTGGACTTTGCCAACCAGTTTGCATTGCAATAACAGTGGCCAAAACTCCTTCGGCCAGTTTAATGCGGCCGCTATACGCTCAAAAGCGTTAAAATAGGAGTCCACTTCGGCCTCACGAAACGGGGGAACCAGTTTAACGTGCTTAGTGATGTCAAAACCTGTCGAGACAGCGGTGGATGTACTAGGATGACTAGAGGCAGATGTGGAGGGCTTTCGCTCCAGCTCCAAAGCTCTGACACGCAGGTGCATTGCTTGTACCTCAAGCTCTTTAGCATGGGTTTCCACCACCTCCCTTATACGGAGGGTCAAACGGAGATCCTCCGTAGACCGCCCCGCCAGGAGTTCCCCGGCTGTACCAGACTCAGCTGCTTCAGACTCCGCCGCAGCAGCATCAGAGTCCACCTCAGCTGCATCAGACTCAACCTCAGCCGAGAGCATGTTAACAGGCCCTTTGGCATCCGGCTCCGGCTCAGTCTCCGGCGCCACCCTCACACCCCACCGCCAAGCTGCTCTACAGCTGCCTTTGGGGCAGAAAGGGTGTTCCACCAGCCCTGCACACAAAGCGTCCTTAACCTCCGCTTTACGAGCACTATAGGACACTTGAACATCATAAAAACTAGCAATAATGAGCAAATCCACTTTCCTGCACTTCACCATTTTATCCCATGAAGGCGAAGTAACAAAATCATCCAAAGAAAACTCCATAATCCCACACACCTACCATCCCCACACCAAGAAAACTGCCAAACAGACCAAAACACACGAAAACAACCACAGAAGAAGGCAGAGGACGAGCCCCCAATTCATGTTACGACCCGTCTAGGGCCAGGCAATAACATGAGTGAGGCACTCACTCCCCGCCACCACTTCCCCCCCAAGCAGCCACAGGAAACAAATCTGGTCATTACAATGTGATTTATTTACAATGTGAAAAAAAGGAACAACAAAACGGGAGTGTCAACACTTCAGGGTGAGCCAAGGCCAAAACAAATCTACACAAATCCCGCACCCCTGACCTTACCAAAACAAAAGTCAAAAATAAAGAGTCTGACCTCCTTAACTAAGTCAAAACAGGAGAAAACGGGTGATCAAAAGAAACGGCAGCTCACCCCTACCCACTTCCACAACTTTTAAGCCACACTGCAGCCAGCTTTGGAGTCCTTAGGGACTAGTAAAGCGCTATACAAATATAGGCCATTTACATAAATATGCCTGACAAAAGCAGCATCTGGCTGCAGTTTAAAGACTTTTTTTTTCTTGGTCTTGGTCTCATCTTGGACTTGGTTTAGGAAGTCTTGACTACAAGTCTAGGATGTACTGCCAAATTCTCTGAAACGCAGTATTCGGCACAGATGTTTCTGTATACTATGCCGGCCACTTGGGTATGGCGTTCCATGTATGCCCTGCCTGCTAACATCTTCCACCCTACTGTTTTGTAGTGGATTGTCTCATGGGCATCTTTACACAGCCTGCACCTGGGGTGGTAGACCCCAGCCTCTATGGATCTTGTGCTCAGAGCTTTTTCCTGTGCTGCCATGATTAGTGTCTCTGTGCTGTCTTTCAGTCCAGCTTTGTCCAGCCACTGGTAGGATTTCTGGATATCAGCCACCTCCTCTATCTGCCGGTGGTACATACCGT